GGGTGGGGAGAGTAGGCAATTTTGTTATGATTTGTTACAAGGCGGTCCAAATAAAGAAAATATTTTTTCAAGCTTTCCAACAACTTCAGTGGCTGTTTTAGTTACCAGTTAATGCCATATTGTATATCGTGACGGACCACAGTAAAAATTCCTGATACATTCTGGTTATTTTGCAAGCAAAGTTGTAATGTTTGAGCAACACCAAAATGACCAATTGAATGAATTTTCCATATGTTTTTTTGTTCAAATAACCCGTCTGCATGCACTATTCTGCACCATTTTTGAGGGATTTGTGAGTGCCGATTGACCAAATTTATTTCAGATGGAATCGATTGTACTATATCCTGGATATCTTTTGCCACTTCCTTGATAGAATTTATTCAATTCAACCCTATAGGCATGCAACCACACACGGTTCCCAGCAAGACTTGTTATCTCGTTTGTTATCGATTATTTCAAGTTTTAAAAAAAAAAAATTAATTTAAATTTACCCTAAACATTATTTGTTTTTGAAATACAATAAAAAACACTTTAACTTACCTCAAAAATTATTTGTTTTTGGAATACAATAAAAAAAACTTTAAACTTTTTCCAAAAATCTTCACTAGTTTTAAAATTTAGTTTAAAAGAACACTCGATAGGTTTCTGAATTGATGCAATTATCTTTTCTTGTTCTTTTTTGTTCATTTTGCTTGTTTAAAGATTTTTTTTTCTTTTTTCTTTTAGCTTTGTTTTCAGTATTAAAAAATACACCTGCAATTACATTTGCAAAAAAATACATTTTGCTTTATCATTTTTATTAATACAATCTCTATTATTCCTGTTATCTTTACTTTTAAGTTTAACAGTTATTTATTAAGTAATGGTATATCACCATACTCATAACAGCAGTTATTTGGTTTTATTAAACATGCTAAATTAAATTCAATTCTCTTATTCCACTGCTAATTTGTTTACTGTAATAATAGAAAGGTCCTATAGGTAGAAATGTTGAAGCAAGTCAAACTTTGTCGAAAAGTTTTTTAAGTCTGGCATGCTTTTTTTTTTCCATAGCCTCATTTCATGCAGTGAATTATTTCTTTCTAATCGCAGTATTAAAGTTGTCTTTGATAAACTCTTCATTTTTAGTAGTCTTTAGGGTATTACAAGGTTCAGGGTTCCTTGTTAACTAATCTATATTTCCCAGGGTTCCTTGTAAACTAATCTATATTTCCCAAGGTTCCCTTGTTAACTAATCTATATTTCCCAGGGTTCCTTGTTAACTAATCTATATTTCCCAGCAATCTTCCCTCTAAAATGGTTCTACATTCTATAAATCTCTCAATTGTTTTTTCTGTTCTCTTAACTCCAAAACACAAAGTTTAACAAACAAGATTGCTGTGTACTGAAGTGAGTTGAGTGTGGTATTTCCAAATGTGTTGGTTTTGGACTTTGTACCTCTCACTTTTAAAGCAAACTCTATTGCACCACTACTTCATATACTTTGATCAATCTTCCAACTACAGCTGATCTTGAATATGTTTTTTGTGACAGCTGTATTTATACTGATGACAGAACTCTTATACAAGTCATTTACTTTTCATCTTCTTAATTTATCTTTCTACTGACTATTAAAAACAAAATGGAAAGGAGAACTCTAATGGTTTAAGTTTTTAAAGTTTTTCTCTAATGGAAAAAAAATATATTCAATATAAAAAAAATATATTCAATCCATTGCAAATATAGCATCTGCTATGGTTACCTCTCATTAACAGCTTGCGATTTTTTTTACTCCTGATTACATTTATTACCTGGTATCTGTTCCTTGTATGAAACATTGTTGTCATGTTTCCTCTAATTCTTATAAAAGTGTCTTTTCTCTTTTAGACAACATCCAAAAATGCATTCATATATTGTTGAACCTGCTCTAACAGCCAAGCTTGAGCTTTTTTTTTCTGTCAAATTGTCATTTGGTTGCATCTATTTTACTTTTCTACTAAATTCAACTATGATTGCTTCTTAAGCGATCTTAAGCTTTGATTACAATCTTGTGTGACTTGTCAATCAACAGAGGTAAATCTTTGCATTGAAACTCATCATTTATGTTCAAAAATGTTCCATTTGTCTAATATTTTTCCTCAAACATCATGCTAAGGAATTCTTTCTACTTTTCATATTTTCTTAACTTGTACAATTTGAATTTTTTGAATTTTTAAAGATGCGCACTTATTGACCTTTAAGTAAATATGTGTATATTTATGTTTTTTAAAGAATTATATTTGTTAGTTTTGAAATTTGAATTTTATTGTTTTCAAAATTTTAGAATCTAGAACTAAAAGATCATTATTCAAAGTTTAAAGATTTTATTCAATTAAAGTCAACTCCACGTATATTTTATAAACCTGCTACCCACAATAAAAAAACCACTGCGCTTTTGGAAGAATCACAAAAGTTTTTGAATGGTATTATTTTATTTAATTTCTACTTGTAAACATTATTTTTTTTTTTTTTATTAGAAATATGTGTGTGTGTGTGTGAGAGAGAGACAGAGAGAGTATATATATACAATAAAGTAATAGTATTGTCTTTCACATCTTCTAAGAGAAAATTTATTTTTGCCATTCACATCTTCTAAGAGGAAATTTATTTTTGAACTTTATATAAGAATCTTTATTTTATAAAGTTCTAAAGTCCAATGATCAATTTATAAGAAGCTTTCTTTATTTTACGTTTTAATACTTTTTTTTATACAAATAAAAAGATATAGTTTTAAATAAGATGATAAAATAATGTAAACATGGTAGATATGGTGATACTGAATGTGGTGAGAATTCAACTTAGTACTTTTAAAGTACTAAGTTGAAGTTAGTACTTTTAAAAATAAAGTTGTTCACTGAATTTTCCATGTTTCCAACCTATTAATTTTTTTAGTTTTTCAACATGTTGCTTTTACATGCAATATTACTGTAAGAATATAAGAAATAATAATAAAAATATTAAGTGCTGTTTTTGATATCTACACTCAATTCTAAATTTTGATTTTCAATTATATTATTTCTTGAACAACACTTAATAACATTAAATTTAAAAATTTTTTTAAGAACAACACAATATTTTTTTATCTTGACATTGTTCGTAGTTTACATACTACATTTTCAAAAGATAAAATTGCAATTAAAACTCTAGAATATAAAATCAAAATTTAAAGATGTTACAGAGAAATGTATTTCTAATTTTATCTTTTAAAAATGTAGCATGTAAATTTTTCAGTTCATGTTCAGAGGGGCTTCCAGATATGTCAACTTTGTTTATAAGGTAACAAAGGAGGCAGCATCTGTGCGGATGGGGTTAGGAATTACATATAAGTAGAGTGGAGAAAGGGAAGTTTTTTCAGTATGTTTTACTATGTTGGGAAAATAGTTGTTGTAAATCATTTTGGTTGGAAGGTTTACAAACAAACAGTTTATTCAGTTGATGTTCTAAATGTTTCTAGTATTCTTCTTTTTACATTTTTTGCTTCTTTATTATAATTTGTCTTTTTAAAATTTGTAAAGTTATATGATCTTGGCAATTATGCAGTAGTGGTGTAATGGTAGAGTGCTCGCCTCTTAAGAGAGAAATTCTGAGTTTGATCCTCACCACCTCCCTAGTAGTACTGCACTCAACTTGTTTTTCTGTGCAACAGTCTTGTTCGTCAAGATTCGTGTTTCAGAGTTATAGTATTTAGAGAGGGTCATAGCCACAACTAAAGTAACCTGCTCAACTGTAGTGGCCTACTCGGCCTTGGGATGTGAATTAACATTAAAAAAAAATTTACATAAAAAATCTTATGAGTTTTCTAGTTTATATTATTTTTATTATTATGATAATAATGATGATGATGGTGATGATGATGACTTATAAATTGTTTTCTTTTAGAATCACTTGAGCAGCGTCTTAAAGAGATAGATATGTTCACAGAAGCTGATTTCTTACCTCCTACACGTAAAGCTCTTGGTAAAACTAATAAAGATCCGATTGTCATTTCAGATGCTAAGCCTGCCAATCAAAGAGATTTATTTGCAGAAGATGCAGATAACGAAGAAAGAGAAAAAGATTCTGTTGTTGACATGAAAGATGATGATGATATATTAGAAATAATTGATAAAAATCAGGTTTGCGATATTGACGTTATTAAATCTGACACCTATGATGTTGATGTTGTAAAATCTGGAAGCTTTGATGTTGTTGATGAACGAATTGTTGAACTAGCTGATCATTCAGAGGAGTCTAGAGATCAGGTAAGTATAGAGGAATAAGAAGCTTTGATTATTAAACTTTCAAAAAGTGAGTAAATATGTTCAAGGTTTTTGGTGATAAAATTTTTAAAGGTTTTTTAATCTAAGCTAGGAAGCTTTTTTGAAAGTTGGCAGTAGTAAAGATGTCTACTGTAGGTTGTTTCGAATTATGGAAGACTATTTTCATTTCTTGCAAGCAACAAATTTTATATTATGATAAGTCAATTGTACTTTTACAATAAAGAATAAACTTGATTTCAAATATTTCTTTTTTTTATATATTTTAGAAATATGTGCATACTTACATAGATACATACATTCATACACAGATACATACATAGATACATACATACATAGATACATACATACATACATACATACATACATACATACATACATACATACATACATACATACATACATACATACATACATACATACATACATACATACGTACATACATACATACATACATATATGTATATGTGTGTATATATAAATGTTAAGCAGCAGTGGTTAGAGTTCTGGCTCCAAGAGGTCAGAGTTTAATGCTAGCTTTGGCAAGATAAGTGACATTGGTTAGAAGAAAGGTATGAGCATCCTAGTTAATGCTCTTCTGCGATGTCTGTGATAAGACCATAAGGATTTCTTGGAGCATCATCAATAACCACAAAATAGTTTTTATATATATATATATATATATATATATATATATATATATACATATATATATATATATATATATATATATATATATATATATATATATATATATATATATATATATATATATATATATATATATATATATATATATATATATACAGTACCGAACTTAATTAACTGGGCCAGTCACATTTTCATGCAAAGAAGACACAATCTTGAATAATACTGATTTAATTATTTACAGATAGCAATAGTATTATATAATAATGTACAAAATATGTAAATATAACAATATAACAAAGAAATTCAGTCATTGAAAGAAAAAAATCTAATATTTTGTACTTCGACCCTTGACCCTCAATAATTACCTCAAGCGACGCGGCATTGACTGTACCAGATTCTGGAGAGTGTCACGTGATATATTATTCCAGGCATTGGAAATCATGTGCCACAATTCATCCAGATTACTTGGCTTTCTGTTCTGCACCTTTTTGAATAGCACTTCCCACAAATTCTCAATCGAGTTCATGTCCGGACTCTGGGCCGGCCAAGTCATCATTGTGACACCTTTAGACCTGAGAAATGTGGTCACAGTCTTTGCTGTGTGACAAGGTGCATTGTCATGTTGGAAAATATACTGCTGACCATCATAAAGCTTTGCAGCAGATGGCAACATAGCTGATTCCAACAACTCTATGTATCGGTTTTGGTTAAGAGTACCTTCGATATGCCGAAGTTCTCCCGTCCCGAAACCATTCATGCAACCCCATACCATTATTGACCCACCCCCATGTTTTACTGTTGGCAGAATACAGTTAGCATTAAATCTCTCCCCTGGCCTCCTTCTCACAAAGGCACGCTTTGCAGCACAGAACAACTCAAACGGGCTCTCGTCTGACCATAACACTCTGCTCCAGTCATCGGCCATCCAATCCTTATGAGCTTTCGCCCATTCCAGTCTGCTGCAACGATTCTTCTTGGACAGAAGTGGTTTCTTTGCTGCTACACAACCACGCAGATTAGCTGCCCGCAGTCTCTTACGCACAGTATGGCTGGTTACGTCAACTCCGTAGTTCTTGTTCCATGCCTTTTTCAGCTCCGGCGAAGTCAACCATCGGTTACGCTTTGACATGCGGATGAGCTGCCTGTCCTCTCGCTCAGTGGTAGCTCGCTTCCTCCCTCTTCCAGCTAAATCCCCAACACTGCCGGTATTCTTATGCTTTATTACCAATGAATCAACGGTTTTGCGGTTGATTTTCAGGTCTGTAGCGATCTGGCGATGCGAATGACCTTGCTCGGCCAGCAAGACTACCCTCATCCGCGTCTCCATACTTAACCTCTTAGCTCCAGTCATTCTCTAAAAAGATAAAATATACCATTTTAACTTAACTTTTATACAAATTCTGCTTTATTTGACACAATATTACATATTGGAAGCATTGCTGACTTTAAATTTAATTTTAAATTATTTTGTTTCAATTTATCTTATTTTTGCATATAAAATACCAAAAAATTAAAATAAATAATGAATATTTATTGTTTTTTCAACTTTTTTGGATGAAACTACCTGTATGCATATTTGGATAACTTGTGTTATCACTCAAATTAATATAACAATAACATAATTTCCTTTTATTTCATATTATTCAAACACATGAAAATCATAAATTTACTAAATTTTACACCAAGTACACAAATAATACTATTAAATATCTACTAACCTCTTAGAAATATTTATTTAGTTTTACAAATCAACTTCAATGTTATTGTTATCACTTTTCAAAAGGTTTGCCTAACTTCCAAAAGTCAATTAATCAAACAATATGGACTGAAAGTCATAACTTTGTATGAGAATCAGCTGGCCCAGTTAATTAAGTTCGGTACTGTATATATATATATATATATATATATATATATATATATATATATATATATATATATATATATATATATATATATATATATATGTCTGGAGCTATTCTAGACCGATTTCTATAGCGTCGACCGTATTTGGGAGTCGATTTGGGCAATGCCCAAATTAAAAATTGAGGACCTTTTTTTTTTTTTATGGTTTTTTTACGTTTTTACGGCAAATATTATTTTTTTCATGAACAAACCAGTGAATGATATAGTGGGGATTTCTCCACCTTGATATTTCCTCAAACCACTGAAAACCACTGAAAAATTTTAAATCATTCGTAAATCAAGTTTGTAACATTTTTCTTTACAAAAAGCAAGAATAGGAGTTTGACTTTTATTTTATTTTAAGCTTTTGTTATATATTTATCCCCAAATCAGTTGCAATAAAAATACAAACCGGTATACCAGTGTTAAAAGCACACATCACTTATATATGTAATAAATATATAAACATATCCATATATATGTAAAAAATTTAAATAGATCTTTTCTCAGCAAAATTAAGAATTTTTTTTATTTACAAGAAGTATTTTTTACAGAGAAATGTTTTCAGAGCTAATAAACTTTTTGAATTTATAACAGCATTGAATTATTTATTATCTTTATAGCTTTAAAATAAAACAATTATTTAACAAGTGATAAAATAATATTTTTATTTATTAAAAAAAATGAATTTATTTTTAATAAATAAAAAATAATAGTTAATATTGTAATTATTACTTGGTTCATAAATTTACAGCTGGAACTATCTGTCAGCTTTTTTTTATGTTTTTATATCTTAAATAGTGTTTGCTTGTGTCTTTGTCAGTGATATATTATTTAAAAAAAATTATATTATTAATATATATATCTTATATTTTATATTTTATATATATTATATCTTAATATTTTATAATTAGGAATAAAGATTAAATAAAATAAAACAGATTAACAGACCTGGCCTAACTTGAGCTTAAAGAAAAAATCTTTTAAAGATGTTTGGAATGTTACTATTTAGTAGGAAAATCAAAACTTAGCAATATTAATGGAAAATACCTTATATAGGAAAGATGATTAATTTGTTTAAAAAGTTTAAAAATGATAAAATGGCAAGACATTTGTGTAAAAGAACACTACAATCTGCTGTACTTACGTTTGCTGTTGTGACTCATGTGAAAAATGACAACATTGATGGAAAGTGGAATCAATTCAAATTTTGGATCTTCAATGAGTACACTCAAAAGGTTACTCACAGTACTTTAATGAGATTTGGAAGAGCAACATATACAGTAAGATTTTTTTTAGTTTTTTAAATTAGTAAAAAGATTTTGTTTTTCTTTCCCAAAAAAGTTGGATTAATGAAATAGATTAAGATATCTAAACATTAGACAAGTTTCAAATTGGATGGGATTGAAGTAGTATTTACAATAACTTATTTGTTTGCTATTGATAGGCTAGGAAAAAAGGTGTTTTTTTTTTCATTTTGTTACTATAGCACAATAGTGTAGCATATAATTAGTAGTATTATATATAATTCTACAAAATATAACATAATAAATATAATTTTATATAAATATAACATTTAACATAATTCTACAACACTTTACATAATTCTACATCATATACAACATAATTACAAAATATTTTTTTATATCATTTTTGAGCTCTTATAAAATCTTTATAAAATCAAAAGTTTTTGTACAATTTTCACTGAAAAATATTTGCATAAGTTAAAAAAAAGTTAGTTTTCTTTAATTGCATATCTCCTTATATCTCAGTCACCAGCTTTTTTACACATCAGATGTCTTTACAAATCAATTCTCCTTTCAGTTTTCTTCGCCTCAGTTTTACTTATTTGTTTGTTTTTTTCTTTTTAGTTTTCTGTGTGCATTATTTTTGTTGTTTTTAACTTTGTGATAATTTGTAGGTGGTTTCAGTTGTGCTTGATTATAAATACTCACTCGCTGGAATTGATTTCCAATCAAGTCAGTACTGTAAAAAAAAATCAGAGGTATGACTTTTTATTATTTAAATGATAAATGCAATATAAAAAGTTAAAACAAATGTTTTATAAAATGACAATGACATACAATTTAAATCTTTTTTTTAAATCTTGATTTTGTATTTTTGATTACTAGTCTGATTTTAGTTTAACTTTTATATGATCAATACACTTGCAGATGTGCTCTTAAGTAAAGATTGCAAAAAATTTTAACATTAACATAATAAAATAACAAAAATGGTGTTTTAATAATTGTAAGGTGTCTTTTTAAATGTTATAATGATTTTATAGTGCTTTTTTAAGGTCTTTTTGGTTGTAAAGTTTCTCTTTAAATTACATTACCATATTTCTAACTTATATTTCTGATAATTTACATGAAAAGTTATAGAAATGACAAGTTATAGATATAAGTTTATATAAAGAAGTGCTCTTTAAGCATGTGTTTTTATAAAGAAGTGCTCTTTAAGCATATGTTTACATAAGGAAGTGCTCTTTAAGCATATGTTTACATAAGAATTAAGAAGTGCTTTTTAAGCATATGTTTAGAGAATGCTTTTTTTTAAACATATGCTCAATTATTTAAATATTTTTTTTTGATTGAAACTTTTATAACTTTTATATTGAAACTTTTTTTATAAAATTAAAAAAAAAAAGTTCTAGTGAAATTGTAAAAAAAATCATCTTAAAAAAATATTTTGCCTGGAAAGTTATAGGCTCGTAATGTAATTATATAAATGTCTGATAGGTGCTTAATGAGTTTTATGCAGATATTTATCTTTAAATATCTGTTATAAATGTTTAAGGATATTATATGGGCAAAATATGTTGATCAAAAGTCTTAATCTTAACTTGGTAACATCTTCTTTCTCTTCAATCTCTACTTTCTCTTCATTCTCATTCATCTTCTTTCTCTTCATTCTCTACATTTTTCATCTTTTAGACTCATATAAGCATAATCTTGAACAAGTCCAAAGTTTCTATTGGGGAAATCATTTGTGACAGTTTGTGTTTTCACAAAGTGAACAAATTAAACAATTATTTCCAGAAGCCAGAATGTCCCTAAACTCATTTATTAATATCTTCCTTAAATATATGAACAATGTCAAAAAGAATCTAGCTTCCCATGCCAACAGGATTGAGCAAGAGTTAGGCTACTGTGCAAATAAAGAGCTATAGTGGGTGGACAATGTCTAAGTGTCTCTGGTGTATCTTTGTTGAGCAAGTTCTTTATCATTTTTACCTTTGTAGCATCAGGCGGCAATTAGCAGATGTCTGTCTGCTAGTCCAAAAACAACTAATGATTCTAGACACCTCCCTTTATGCCTTGTATTGTATTAATACTTTTTTTAGTAGTATGCTCTAAAAGAATCTTTTTTTTTAGTTCTTTCTACAAGAAACTAAGTTCTCTGAGACAAGCGCATCTGAATTGTATTCATGTATCTTCACTTTTTGAAATAGCCTCAGCTTTTTCTGCAGCAGATATACCTAACTTCTGTCGCTCTGCTTTTTTCTTTCAATCTAATCTAATCAGGGTTTATGAACTGTTTTCTTAAAGACATCTTATATTTTCTTTGCTGGGCTTGAATCTATAGTTTTTTCAGATTACAGATATATACTTATATTTGCAATCTAAAACTCCTTAAATTGTTAGAATAATTACAATTTTTTTCTTTTAGCTTTTTATTCAATATATTATTTATCTGGAAAAAAAAACACTGCAAAAAAACAATTTATCGAAATTTTTTTACAAAATTTGCAAAAAAGCATCATCAATCTAATCTGTACCAAACATACCTGCTAATCTGTACCAAACATACCTGCTAATCTGTACCAAACATACCTGCTAATCTGTACCAAACATACCTGCTAATTTGTACCAAACATACCTGCTAATCTGTACCAAACATACCTGCTAGTAACATTGATGATAATAAACATACCTGCTAGTAACAATGATGATATTAAACATACCTGCTAGTAACATTGATGATATTAAACATACCTGCTAGTAACATTGATGATATTAAACATACCTGCTAGTAACATTGATAATATTAAACATACCTGCTAGTAACATTGATGATATTAAATATGTAATTGAGTCTTAAACAAATTAAATAATTAAGGAGTTGTTCAGTGAATTTTCCTAGAGTTTGAAAGCTTTAAATAAAATTGTTCTAAAAACAACTTTTTTTTCTAATGGCACCCCCTCATCCTCCCCTAAATGTGTTCTATATAACAAAATAATACTGGAATTGAAAAAGTTTTGAATAAAACATATTTTAGGGGTCTTTTAAGGAATCACCCCACTTTAGGGATGCTTAAGGGTCCAGGACCCATAAACATTAGACAGGTCCTTAATATTATCTAAAAAAGTTTCTTCAGAAGTATATTATGCTAAGTCTCAAAAGAAATAAAATTATACAAAATTTAAAAAGCATAAAAATTTTAAAAGCAAAAAATTTTCAAAATTATAATTATATTTTAGAAAAAATATTTCTTAAATAAAAATTATTTAAAAAAAAGCATTCACAAAATTTCTATGTTAAAAATCATGGTTTTTATAATCTGTATATAAAATAAATATTATTTAATTATATATTTAAAACCAGAATAAAAAATCAAGTAAATGATCAGGGATTTATCAATTTATATTTGCTGAAAATTAAAGAAAGAATCAATTTCAAGTTCCTTTTAATAATGCACAAACCTATTATCAGGAAGCACCAATTTCATTATGCAATTTAATTCACTTCTCAGCGTCAGAAAGAACACAAAAATTTAAAGAAAGAAACACAAAATGCAGTAATTGTTTTGGTAATTGAACATTATCCCATTATGGTCCTAAACTTTGGAACATACTTCCAAATATCATCCATGACCAAAAAAACGCATTTATAAAAAACCAAAATCATATTTAATAGTGAATGGTAAAATATTCCACCAGAAAATTCTTGAATATTAAAAATTTTAAGTAATATTATAATTTGTTGCACAGCTGAGCAAGTGTTTTGCTAGCTTATCTGTTATAAAAAATATATATAAAAAACAAACACAACTGGGGAAATGGTGCGACATTTAAAATCACAGCTATGGGACATTTTTAAAAATTAACATAATAAAGTGGCTTGGACTTAATATATCACTGTATCAGACTAATAGTCACTTACAGGTGAAAGAAAAGACAGTGATGGGACCAAAAAGAAAAAAGTAAAAGGAGAAAATGAAGAAAAAGAACTTGTAGATGTGGAAACAAGTACACCAGAAACAATTTCATCTTCCTGCCACAGATACAAAAATTGAATCCACTATGCTCGAAAATTCATTCAGTATAGAGTAGTAGCAGCAGTAGTAGTAGTAGTAGTAGTAGTAGTAGTAGTAGTAGTAGTAGTAGTAGTAGTAGTAGTAGTAGTAGTAGTAGTAGTAGTAGTAGTAGTAGTAGTAGTAGTAGTAGTAGTAGTAAAGTATAGAATTCAAAAGTATAATAAAATAATCGTAAAAGCAACTGTTATCATTATGACTCTATCAACTTTAAAATTTATGTATATAAATTAAAAATTTAGTGTCATCTACGATCAGCTAAAAAATTTCGAGAGTTATGTTCGTTAAATGGTGGGTTGTTTATGAAGATTGGTCAACATATTGGCTCTTTAGAGTTTCTCTTTCCTAAAGAATATACTGAAACTTTAAAATGTTTTCAGTACCAAGCACCTGCTAGTAACATCGATGATGTTAGATATGTAATTGAGTCTGAAACAAATCAAAAAATTGAAGAGTTGTTCAGCGAATTTAATCCTGAACCAATAGGAGCAGCATCTTTAGCACAAGTAAGTCTTATATGCAATATATAGTATAGTGTATAGTATGTCTCAATTTCAAAATGTTTTTTATATACTATATTGGTGGAGTCACTTTGGAATTGCAAGTTTTTATACAGTTATAATATTTTCTGATGGCCGTATATATGTTTAAAGTAATATTTTCTGATGACTGTATATGTCTAAAATAATATGAAAAATTATCAAGGTGCATCAAGCTGTTCTAAAAGATGGAACTTCTGTTGCTGTTAAAGTTCAACATCGTACAGTAAAAAAATACGCTTTAGCAGATGCAAAATTTATTGAGGTTGGCATTTATTTTATCTTCTTTTTAAAAAAAAATTTTCAAAGATTTGCAAAAAATTTAATATGTATTTTTTATTTTACCTGAAGTTTTTCGTTGGGTTGGCATCTAGCATTTTTCCAGAGTTTCGGTTTCAGTGGCTTGTTGATCAGATTAAAGAGAGTATACCACTGGAGACTGATTTTCTTCATGAAGGAAGAAATTGTGAAAAACTAGCTAATATGTTAAAGGATATTTCTTTTTTGAAGGTAGGTTGAGGTCTTGAATAAATTTTATATTTAATATTATTTAGTATTATAATATTTTTTAAATATATACTACTATTGCTAATATTCAATTATTATACACATTTAATTATTTACTATTATATCTAATATTTATTATATCACTATATAAATATTATATTACTATTGTTGTGATAGTTCTATATTATTTCAGTTTTTTTTTTTTTTACATTTAATTATGAGACTAGATTAAGCATAGACATAAACTAGATTAAGTTATTAATAAATTTTTAAAACATGTAGTGTAAAACATTTTCCCACTTATTTTCATATACAATAAAACGTAAAAAGTTTATTTTTTAACTTGATGCAGAAAATATAATAAACTTCGGTTTGAATGATTTAGTTTTCTTTATATTTATTTATTTTTAATGATGGATTTCTTTGTAATTCTACAAAAATGGTGTCCTTAAAGCAATTTATGTTGATTTTTCAAACTTATTTTTTAAAGATTGCTACTAGTTAATTTTAGGTTTTTTTTATTTTTGAGTTATTTTCTTATAAACTTTTTTCTTATGAAATAATTTATATCTGCTCTAGCTTTAAGCAATTTAATTCTAAAAATTGCTGGTACCTAGTACTTGTGCACGCATTGTTGTCCCTGTGGATTTAGGTTGACACTGTTCTAATATATTTTGTACACTTAAATTTTTAAAATTAAAGAATAGTGCCAAAAACTTTTTTAGACTTTTTTGTATGATGAGGTGTTTGCAAGCAACGAAGCTGCAAGAAACCACTATGAAGTTCAGAGTTACTTGAAGAAAAAAAAGCATTGTTAAAGTACAAGGAAACAGAAAGAAGATGTTTTTTGTTTCTATCCAAACAGAATTCAATAAGTTTTCTTGACAATGTTATTACAGATGATAAGAAGTGGGTACTCTATGTTAAACACACTAAAAAGCATTAATGGTTCAACCCTGCTTAAATAGAGATATTGACTCCAAAACTTGAATTTCATCCAAGAGAGATCATTCTTTTAGCATGATAGGGTATACTTGGTATTGCATATTAGAAATTTCTTCTTACTAAAACAACTGCCACTACAGAGATCTACTCTGCTTAACTAGAGAAGTTCTGTTCAACGAAAAAAACTTTTAACTTATTCTCAAGAGTATTACAAAGTTTACTTTGTGATTACGCTTGACCTTGTGTTGTATGAAATTGGTGGTATGAAATGAGTCAAGGATTTATGAATTGGACGTTTGAAATGAAAGAAGAGACCACCTTAGGGCTTGCCTGAGCAACTTTTATGAATATGGTAAAATTAGATTGTCAAAATTTTGCCAAGGATTTGATTCCCATATAAAGTAAATCAGAAAATAAAAAGCATAAAAGCAGATTAAAAAATGGAAAGTAATATGTGAGTAATATAGAAAATACAACAAATGTATAAAAAAAACTGGCGAGTTGAACATGCATAAACACAAAAAATAATATGGTTACTTAAATATATGTTTATAAATACATTTTTTAAATAGCATTTTAAAAAATAGGTTTTAAATATTTTTTAGGTTCCTAAGATATACTGGAAAAATTCAACAGAAAGAGTATTGGTGATGGAGTTTTGTCAAGGGGGTGTGATTGATGATTTGGATTTCATAAAGAAAAATAACATTAATCGAAATGATGTATGTTATTTCAAAATCCATGCAGCTATATTTAATTATCATTGTTAAATGAGAATTCTTGACCAGATGATACGTTTAAAAAAGTATAAATTATTGAAATACATTTCAATAATTAAAATGATTAAACAGTTGTTATATATGTTTGCAATTTTATCTTTTAGATATCTTCAAAGCTAGGTCGACTTTATAGTGAAATGATATTTGTTCAAGGTTTTATACATTGTGATCCTCACCCTGGAAATATACTAGTGCGCTTAAATGCTTCTGGTTCAACTGAAATTATTCTTCTTGATCATGGTTTGTATCAGGTAGCTTTATAATTTAAAAATATTACTTATATCATTTATAAACAGAAGTATTTATTTATTATTTCATTTATTTTGTTAATTCTATTTAAGATTATTTTTTAATAGTTTTTTGTTAGGAAAGTTAGAGTTTATGAAGAACATTTAATATGAGTTTTTTTGTTAAGATTAGGGAAGTTGAACAACATTTAATATGAGTTTTGAGTTTAAAGTTGCAATTTTATGAATGATGATGTTTACCACTAGTAAGATGGTGGTTAAAGTTGTTTAAAACTGTATAAACAATTATAAAAATGATAACTATGCTAAGTTTCCACAAAGTATATAGTACCATTTAAGTCCAAGTAACAATCAATACAAATCTCTTATTTGTTAAAACTTGAAAGGAGCTATAAGGTTGTGGGAAGGTTGTAGCAAAAATTAAAAAAAAAAATTATTTGTTATTATTGACACATTTACTTGTATTTAGTGAAAATTTTGTATTTAGTAAAAATTTGGTGTATAATGAAATACAAGAAATTAAAAAAAATGTTTTTAATACAAAACTAAAATGTTCATCTTTTAAAATGTTAAGCTTTTTGTTTGCACAAATGATTTTTCTTTAGTGGTCTAAATTTTTTTATATAATTAATTGACAGCTATTACTCCTAAATAAAGTGTTATCGTTTGTGGTAGCATTTTTCTTGTTAACATTTAATGAAAGGATATTTAAATTTTTAAGAGAATTCATGACGACTGCTGAGAAAAAAGAAAAAATGGTATTTAGAATTTCAAAATTTTGTTGGAAAAAGTGCAAAAAAAACCAAAAAGTTTATCAGAAAATCAAATTGAAATAATGGTAAAATGAATTGAAAATAACTTTCAACTGAAATTGGTGGCCATCATAAGATTTCAAGACAATTTAATATAATTTGAAAACTTTGGCATATGAATTTGCCAAATGGTCACACACTAGCAGTGAACGCCTGAGAGAAAAATGAAGTACATTAGAATAGAGGAGAATTATATTTCAAACAAAGCTTATTTTGACAGTTGTCAAGACAAAAATATAGATTAATAGTAGAATATTTTAAAATGTACTCATGATGACAAAAATAAGACAAGCAGTACACCTAAGCAATACTTACAATAATAAAAAATAAATATTATTTTATAAAAACTTAAGATGGAAAAAGTTATAGCACAAATATATCACCAAACAACAACATACAAAACAAAAAGTTGACTACAAAATAAAAAGTATTCATAAAACAATGTAAGGCCTAAGAATGGAAAAAAAAAAAACATTAATGCTGATTTGTAAACATAATTTGTGTAGTGATTAAGTAATAATCATTTCATCAGAGTCGTGTCTATTATTACTGATGTTTCGATGAGGATCAGCACTAATAACTAGTTTATTCTGTCAGAAAAACATCATCACCACTTATGGTTATTCCATATAGTAGTAATATGAAAACCAGCATGTAAATAATATATTCAAGAATACTAAACTAAATACTGTAACAGTTGGGCTGAAAAGTTCGTATCGTTTAATAGAAAAACACATTTTTTTTTTTCAAAATTCGGTTTTATTATTCAACATAGTTTCCATCAGAGGCGATACAGCGAATATAGCGATCTTCCAACTTTTCGATACCATTTTTGTATTACGATTTGTCCTTTGCTTCGAAACAGGCTTCAGTTTCAGCGATCACCTCTTCATTGCTCTTAAATTTTTTACCAGCGAGCATTCTCTTGAGATCTGAGAACAAGAAAAAGTCACTGGGGGCTAAATCTGGAGATTACGGTGGATGAGGAAGCAATTCGAAGCCCAATTCATTCAATTTAAGCATCGTATTCATTGATTTGTGACACGGTGCAATTTCTTGATGAAACAGAACTTTTTCTTCTTCAAATGAGGTTGTTTTTTTGCAATTTCATCCGTCAAACACTCCAATAACGCAATGTAATAGTCACTATTGATGGTTTTTCCCTTCTCAAGGTAATCGATGAAAATTATACCATGCGTATCCCAAAAAACAGAGGCCATAACCTTCCCAGCCGATTGTTGAGTCTTTCCACGCTTTGGAGTCGGTTCATCGCGTGCAGTCCACTCAGCTGACTGTCGATTGGACTCCGGAGTGTGGTGATGGAGCCATGTTTCATCCATTGTTATATATCGACAAAAAAAATCGGTTCTATTTCGATGTAACAGCTCCAAACACTGCTCAGAATCATCAATTCGTTGTTGCTTTTGATCGATTGTGAGTTCACGCGGCACCCATTTTGCACAGAGCTTTCTCATATCCAAATATTTATGAATAATATGTCCAACGCGTTCCTTTGATATCTTTAAGGTGTCAGCTATCTCCAACAACTTCACTTTACGATCATTCAAAATTATTTTGTGGATTTTTTTCACATTTTCATCGGTAACAGCCTCTTTTGGGCGTCCACTGCGTTCATTGTCTTCGGTGCTCATATGACCAGTACGGAATTTTGCAAACCACTTATGAATTGTTGCTTCGCCTGGTGCAGAGTCTGGATAACACTCATCAAGCCATTTTTTGGTATCGGCAGCACTTTTTTTCATTAAAAAGTAATGTTTCATCAACACACGAAATTCTTTTTTTTCCATTTTTTTCACAATAACAAAAGTAGCGTCACTACTAGAGCAATATATCACAAACTAATAATCTGACAGCTGTCAAATTTTTACACGTATCTTTTCAAGGTTGGTACTAACTAAAAATGATATGAATTTAATTCTAGTGGCGCCATTTCTTAGAAACGATACGAACTTTTCAGCCCAACTGTTAATAAGATTAAATAAATTTTAGCTAAGTGGGTGGTTAATAAAAAGTTTTTCGGGTGATATTACAATTATATAAGGTGTGGTATCAAAATGATGTAAGAAGCAGGTAAATGAAATATTGTTTAGAAGTAAAGTTTTCTCTACGATCCGAATTAAAGTAACTTTGAGATTATAACAAAAGCAACACACAAAAAAAAATACATCAAAAACTAAGTAAAAGCATAACTAAATCAAAGTTTCAAAGAGTAAAGCTTTTATGAATAAATATTTTAGTATAAAATAAATCTACAAAATAAGAAGATTAGATCATTTTTAGATCATTAATGGGTATTTGTTAAATTGAATAATATAAGAAATAACCAAAATTAAATAATGTAAAGAGCAGGAAAACATTTTTAAAGTTTTTAAATTTCTCTACGGTTCGAATTAATGTGTATAACAACCATAGTTAATGTACATAACAACTATAATTAACCAAATTAACATATATAACAACCATAACAAATGCACAATAAAAAATGTTTGCACAATAAAAAACTTAATTCTAACTAATTAAATATAAATAAAACTAGAAACTTGATGTAAGGTAAACTAATAATATTATGTAAATGAGGACCCCATCTGCAAAATGTGCTAAGTAACAAAATTAAAAATTTTGAGTTTCCACGTTCTATGTACTTAAATCTATCATCTATTTCCACGTTCTATGTACTTAAATCTATCATCTATTTAAATATTGGACCAATTAAAAAATTTTTGGTCCTAAAAATGGACAAAGAAAATATCAATTTCTGTTGATGCGCAACTAAAAGTAGTTTAGTTTTTTGTTGTTTTCTCAAAATTAATTTACTCGGATTTAGGGCTCCTCAAATAGTATCACCTAGTAATTGTAACTATCACCTAGTAATTGTATATATTTTTAAGATCAGTATCTTGTTCAACAATACTCCAGTGTTTTTTTATTATTTTATTAATAAGTTTTCCAATTTTTCCAAAGTTGTAACTATTGGTTAAGTTCTCTCCTTTTCTTTACACATTAGCATAAATGTTTTTAAGTAAACCATTAACTATTAATGCTAACTACTCTGAAGATTGTTTTTTTCTTAAAAAAATAACTTATAACAATAAGTTTAACATATATATATATTTAATACCAGAACAACAAAAAACTTACTTTCCCTTTGATAAAGTTTGACCCCATGTCAACCAAAATCGAATCAATGAAAATTGTGTTCATACTATAAGTCCATACTATAGAACAACAATCGGACAGTAAATGAAGATTTATTTAATAACAATACACTATTTTTCTGGGAAATATAAATAGTAGATGTATTAATACTTCTTCAAAACTTACTGCATTGACAAAAAATGTTTTGCCATTTTCACCAATAGTTACTTTTGTCATTGACTGACAAAACATGACTGAAGAAAAGTTATTGGAATTCTGCTGGGAGATATTATCTCACCTACTGTTTTCACCAGTCTGAACCTCAAAAAAAGATTTTGGTTATATCAGCAACAGATGTCATGATAATAACAACAGGTTGTCCTATATAGTTGCTCAGTCCATAAGTTGGTCCTAATTTAATAGTAGTGTTAAAAATGTGAATTAAAAAATATTTTGTATGATTTTGAAGTAAATTAAATTCGATTAAGAAAAAAGTTCCAAAAGTTATGAACATAAAAAGTTTATACACCCACCCATCATCCCTCTCCCTCAAGTAAATGCATACATAATATAGAAGGCCTTCTAAAGTACATATGCATTTTGTGTGATGCTTGAAATTTTAAATAAATTTTGGTTTGTATTAACTTTTAAAATATTTTTTAAAAGTTGATTTCCCCCTTATTTTGGCAGAAATTTTGGATTGAAATTTGTGAGCAATCTTATGGAAACATCAATCTTATGAACATACAGCTTCCTATATTATTAATTTTGATTAGTTAGAAACCATTAGAACATTAGAAAGAAGAACATTAGAACTGTTTTTTCTTACATGATTAGATAGTTTTCTTTTCCATTCAGTTCCGCTGAAAATTTTCATGCAAGTAGAAATATGTCTTTACATAGCTGAGAGTATCAATAAACAATACAATCCATCTCAAACTTTTTTTTTCTTTTTCTCTTCTTTCGTTTTTCACTTTTTTATTACTTTACTCAGTATTGTGTATTCTTCAAATAAAAAAATCTTTCTAAAACGCTATATTTTTTCATAAACCTTCCTTCAACCTTTTTTCTTCAGAGACCACATAACTACTTCCCTTCTGAATCCAAGAGAAAATTCCAGAATAAGGATACATATATATATATATATATATAAAACAAAAACAACAATAAAAATAACAATATATTTTGAAATAAAAGTTTTCACATTTCATGGTTATTTACTAATAGTACGAGATTTACTAATAGTACGAGATTTACTAATAGTACGAGATTTACTAATAGTACGAAATTTACTAATAGTACGAGATTTACTAATAGTACGAGATTTACTAATAGTACGAGATTTACTAATAGTACGAGATTTACTAATAGTACGAGATTTACTAATAGTACGAGATTTACTAATAGTACGAGATTTACTAATAGTACGAGATTTACTAATAGTACGAAATTTACTAATAGTACGAGATTTACTAATAGTACAAGATTTACTAATAGTACGAGATTTACTAATAGTACGAGATTTACTAATAGTACGAGATTTACTAATAGTACGAGTACTAATCTAAAATATATGTACTTATCTAAGGTAAACACTAATTAAATTGTAATAGCAATCATATAATAATATTAAAATAAATTTAATGAGGAGAATTATGATAATAACAATAATACTATTAGTAATGACAATAGCAATGATTATTTTAGTAATTATAATAACAACAACAATAATAGTAATAATAATATTGATAAATATCTCAGATAAATATTACACAATATTAATAAGTAATAATGACAGTTATAAAAATGTAAATAACATTAACATCACATATAATAATAATATTAATATCAATAACAATAATAATCTATGACCACAAGTAGTCAAAAAGACGGTTTTTAAATTGTGAAATTGTGAGCTGAGCGATTGAAAATGAAGAAGTAAATTATTCCACGATTTTATGCATTGGTTTGTCATAGAATTATCACCGTATTTAGCTGAACAACAATTTGGATAGATAATTCAAAGTTACTAAAAGATCGAAGATAATAATTAAAATTTTTTGTAGTGGTAAAAAAATTAAAGAATGACAGGAGGCAGGAGGTTTATTTACTTATGATTCCAGACAAATGGACAATTTAATAGATAAACAAGATCACACAATTTGAGTATTTATGATAGAATATATGGATAAATCATGATTAATATGTTTGTTAATTTTAATGATTAGTTTGTTATGAGTAAATTGGTGTCGTCAGCAAATTGGTAAACCCTTGAAAATGTTAGAGAGATATTTTTTTATAATTTTTTGCTCTTCATATAAAGAGAAAATAAAACTACAAGGAAACATTTACATTTTAAAAAAATGTTTAAAAAGATAGGCAGTGGCTTAAATATAATATTTTCATAGAGTCCCTATGTGGGAGCTCTATGAAAATATTTTATTTTTCATAGAGCCCTTAATCCATAGAGCCGACAATAATCTTTTCATTGGTTAATTCTTATTATAATGGCAAAAATTATATATATAATTTTTGCCCTACTAATAAGAATTAAGAACAACACCCTCATCACTATCAAAATTATAATGTTACAACATTAATAACATTACAAATAATAAAGTTATTATAAAATGTAAATCGGCTACTATAAAATAATAAAGATGTTATAAAATGCTACTAGACTACTATAAAATGTTAACTTGAGTTTATTAGTCCAAAATCTACAAATAGTATTTTAAAATTTGTTTTAACACAAGATTCTGATTTTAACACATTAAAAAATTTAAGTTTCAAAAAATGTTATTTAGCAACAATGATATCAACAATAATTCATCATTTATTATCTTTTGTAATATTTTCTATTTGTTACTTTATGAAATGTTGGTAGCTCCATGTCTTTCCATTAATTTAATTAACTTAGAAACACGTGCTACCAGAGATGTAGTAGGAATTGAACTCAGTACTTCTTGCTTACGAAAGGAACGTAGTAATCATATTTATCATTTTTATATTATTTTTATGCTTGGTGGCCATGCGGTCCTTGAAAATCTGGAAAAGTCCTGAAAAACACCCCTTTTAGCAATAATTCCTAGAAATTCTGGAACTTTTTTCTGAATTAGTTCAATATTTTGTTATCATGTTTTTATCTTTTACAGAGTTATAAATTTTTTTGGAGATTTATACTGAATTTGATAATTATGTATTTTCTGTAATGTAAAAATAATGTTGCTATCAGTATTATTAACATCAAGTAATTATTTAGTTTTTTTTCATTTTTATATATTTTTTAAATCAATATTTTTTTTTTTTTTTGGTTGACAAAAGCTCAACATATCCTTGAAAAATTCAAAATTTTCCTTGAAAAGTCCTGAAAATATCCTGGAATTTTGATTTAACTATTGGCTGGCCACCCTATTATACTACTCTTTTTTATTATAATTATATTAAATTTTTAACTTTGTAGTTACCTTTTGAAATATGACTCAATTAGTATGTTATTATTTTTAGACCCTTCCAACCAAAACTCGATTAACATATTGTGATCTATGGCAGAGTTTAATAAACTCAGATATTAATGGAATTAAGAAATGTAGCGAGATGCTGGGCGTTGGAGAGTATTACGGTTTATTCGCTTGCATGGTGTCTGGAAGATCTTGGCAATCAATTCAAGATGGTATTGAGCGTAAATCAATTACAGGAGATGAGGTTTATTTATTAGCTTTAAATTAAAAATACTTTTACGTTTATTTTAATAGACAGTCAAGATTTGCATTTTTTGCAGCCGCATCTTACTTTTTAGCGGTTATAATTTGCTGCTCTACCATTAGTGGTTTTCTGCTCTGTCTTGTTTTTTTTTCTTTCATAAAAATCATTAAATTAAATATTTTCAGCTAAATGAAATTCAGAATACGGCTGTACAATTAGTTTCAACGATCACAGAAGTCTTGGAGAAATTGCCTCGTGAAATGGTGCTTATTTTTAAAACAAATGACCTTTTACGCGGACTTGATGCTCGCTTAGGTACAAAAGTATCGTTTATCACTATGTCTAAATGTTGTATCAGAGCTAAATTCAATAATGATCTTTCTAAATCTGGGTTTTGGTACCAAAAAATGATGCTTTATTTCCGATTTTCGCTAAATTCTTTCAAACTTTGGATTTACGGAATATTTATCACTAATTATTATTTAAACTCTGCACTTAATATAATTAAAATTTAATATAAATCTTACATTAATTGAAAAGTTGTACGTTTTGTTCATGCGAGCTCAGTAATATACAGCTTTTTAAAATAATGATAAAATAAATTATTATAGTTGTCTAACTTTTTTTTTTTTTTTTCCGATTTTTGTTTTATAACTTGTTAAATAGTTTTTTTTTTTTTTTGTTAAATAGTTTTAAAATGCTTTAAAAATAAATTTACAATGTTTTTTAATGGATTTAATTTATTATATTCAAGTCTTTAACTTTGAAGGCCGCATTTTCTACGCTTTTATTTTAAACAATTATTAACTTGTTAATTTTGATTAGTTATCGACATTAAATCGTATTGTAATTTACAACCTATATATTTACCGTGAAGATAATGTTAAAAAAATTGGAATTGAACATTTAATATTCCCGTATTTTAATTTTGTAAAGAGTTGAAAGTCTTCCTAATTTATTCGCTAGAGGAGAAGTAGGACACCCCTATAATTTTTTTAAGAGTAGCGCCTAATTACTGTTATTTAATGTAAACGTATAGGTTTCTTGTACTTTTTTTATTAGACATTATTTTGCCTTCCTGTCCGTGGTAGAAACCGCTTTTTTTGAAAGTATCTCTAAAAAGTATTTTTGCTGACAGCCTAGTAACTCGTGTATGTATTTATTTTCGACTGTTGTTGCATCTTTTATCTATTTTATAGGGAAATGCACTTATGACATTTCTTAAATTTATTTAAGTTATTTAATTTATTTAAGTAAATTACAGTTCTTAAATTTATATTTTAGCTTTTATTGTGTGGCTGTAATTTTAGTTTTATTTTGTCTGCCCTGCATAGGAGAGAAGCTGGACAGAGAAAAAAGTCGCTGTTCCACTTCTCCTAAACAGTTTTGCGTTATTTTCTTGCGGAAAGTTCTGGAACATTTTGGTAATTTTTAAAATAAAAATATTGATACATTTAAAAAGTTTTAGTTCTTATTTAGTGGATTTAAAACAAAATTTGGAAAGAGAGACCTCTTTTGAAGATAAATTTGACTTGATTCATCATTGTTGTATGGAGCAAATTAAAAATTTTACATCAATAATTTGAAAGCATTTGGAAAGCAGAAAGGCATACATACAAGTTTTTTTTAATAAAATATTGTTTTATTAAGTCTGATATAGTAAGAACAGTAACCTTAATACTATTACAAATAAATATTTTTAATCAAACCAAATTTTCTTTAAATTTCAGGTCATGGCTAGAGTTTATAAAAGAAAAAGTAAAACTCCATAATGTCAGAAAACATTTTGGAAGTTGCTGTAGCAAAGTGAAAAATAGGATAAGCCTTATAGAAGCAGCATACTCAGCTGGCATTTCTAAGTCTGTATTAAAAAAAAGTGTCAATATTCAAATGCTAATCATTAGCTAAATTATCAACATTCTATAATTTGCACACAAATTAAAACGCTGAGAAATAGACACTGACACGGGGACATTTTACCGCGGTTATGGGGGCAATTTTAAAATAAGCGAGGTTAATAGAAAAAGTTCATTCATTTTTTCTACAAAAACTGGGTATAAAGATTATTGAAATTAAACGAGCACATCGCACTGGGCCAAAAAAAGATGGACGTTCGAGGGTGATAGTTTTAAAACTTTAACAATACAAAGACAAAGCTAAAATTTTGAAAGAATCAGCTCGTCTCAGAGGAAAAACATTTATGTAAACGAGGATTTTTCTCGCGAAACAGTTGCAATCAGAAGAAAACTATTTGCGGAAGTAAAAGAACGAAATTTAAACGGTGAGAATGTTTCGGTTCGTTACAAAAATTATTTCTTTAAAAACTAATATTTTAAAAAACGTTCCAAACAAATAATCGAATTACGCATTCTAAAAAAGAAACCTTAACCTAATTTTAATAATCATGGCTTTTATGAACGATTTTGAATCCATTTCTTTTAATTTTTTTGAAGGAAACCCTTTTCCTCTGATAAAAACATAGACCCAGATAATAATTTTTATTACGATACTTTTACGGATTGTGCTTATTTTTATCCTAAAGAGCTTGAAGGTTTTCTTTTTCAGAATGCAATTAAAAAAAGTTCCAATCAAATTAGAATTCTCCACCTCAATATAAGAAGCTTAAATCGGAATTTTGAAAAACTTTTAAATTTATTAGAAGAAACAAAAAATCTATTTAATATCATTTGTTTAACTGAAACATGGGTTACATTAAACGATTTTGACAATAATTTTAATATTCCTCATTTTAAAATTATCTCACAAGAAAGAAAAATGAGTAAACAAGGTGGAGGCTTCTTTTATAATATGAGAAACGATTTAAGCGTCTCCGATGGCGATAAAGAAGTTTTAACAATTGAACTTTTACTCGAAAAAACAAAAACCTTTATACTAAGCTGTTGTTATCGACCACATGACGGCGTGAGTGAAAACTTAAGCATGTTTTTACAACATATCGTGAATATCAGCGACGCAGAAAAAAAAAAGAGCTTTATAATTGGGGACTTTAATATGAATTGTTTTCTTTATAACGATGAGTATAAAGTTAAAAAATTTTATGACACAATTTTTGAAACAGGGTCTATACCCTTAATTAATCGCCCTACTAGGGTAACAATAAACTCGGCTACCCTAATAGATAATATCATTACAACTGATATTTTTAATAAAGATATTCAAAAAGGTATTTTAAAAACTGATATATCCGATCATTTTCCTATATTCCTTATTATAAACTCAAATTTAGAAAAAAATATTAACACCCCTACAGCTGTAAGAAAACGTATCTTTAAACAAAAAAACTTTGAGCTATTTAAAGATCAACTACCTTTGCTCCATTGGAATCATATTGATTTTAATGACAATGCAAATAACTTCTACGAAGCATTTTATAAAACATTGTTTTCCGTTTACGACGCTAATTTTCCAATTGTTGAAAAAATAATAAAAATTAACAAAAGCTCAAAAAGTCCCTGGATTACGAAGGGATTAAAAAAATCGTCAAAAATTAAACGGAAGTTGTATATTAAATATTTAAAAACAAAAACATCTGCTAGCGAAAAAATATACAAAAACTACAAATATCTATTTGAAAAAATACGTAAAAACTTAAAAAGAAATTACTACTCAGAACTAATTAATAAATTTAAAAACGATTTGAAACGCACATGGCAAATTATGAAAGAAATTACTGGAAAACAAAAATCGTGCTTAGGTTTTCTGCCGCAGATGATTAAAGTTGATAACATAAGTTTATATAACCCAAGAGCCATATCCCATGAATTTAATAAATTTTTTATTGGGATAGGTCCTTCCTTATCAAATAGGATTTCAAATACGACGGCTTCTTTTAATGATTTTCTCGTACCTATGGATAATTGCATTTGCTCTGATGAGTTATCTTCAGAATTATCTTTTGAGGAATTTGAAGTAGCTTTGAATTCTGTGAAAAGAAACAAAGCAACAGGAGCAGATGAAATTAATGGAAACGTAATTATAGGTTGTTTCGATATATTAAAACATATTCTTTTTAAAGTTTTTAGAGCTTCTATAAATCAAGGAATTTTTCCAGAACAATTAAAAGTTGCTAAAGTTACTCCTATCTTTAAAGAAGGTGACAGATCAAATATTAGTAACTATCGACCCATTTCTGTTCTTTCGGTATTTTCAAAAATTTTAGAAAGAATAATGTCTAATAGAATATACAAACATCTCAACAAAAATAACTTACTGTACAACAAACAATTTGGTTTTAAAAAAGATAACTCAACAGAGCATGCAATAATCCAGTTTGTGCATGAAATCTCAAAATCTTTTGAAAAATCACAGTACTTGTTAGGTATCTTCATTGACCTATCAAAAGCTTTCGACACGGTAGATCATCACATTCTGCTTCAAAAACTTGAATATTATGGAATTAATGGTATTGCCTTAAAATGGTTTAGAAGCTATTTAACAAAAAGAAAACAATTTGTAATTAGTAACGACGGCTATCAAAATAATTGTCTTGATATCGTCTGCGGTGTTCCTCAGGGTTCAATCCTCGGGCCCCTACTTTTCTTGATATATATAAATGATCTAAATAAAGCTTCTAACCTTATAAGCATTATGTACGCAGATGATACCAATCTATTCCTCTCAAACAGTAATATATACGAACTCTTTACTACTATGAATAAAGAATTAAAACATATATCAAACTGGTTTAAATGTAATAAGCTAACTTTAAATATTAATAAAACCAAATGGACTCTATTCCATTCGCATGCAAAAAAGCGATTTTTACCAATAAATTTGCCGCAACTTTTTATTGACGAAATTGAAATAAAAAATGACTTCGTTACAAAATTCTTAGGTGTTTATCTCGATGAAAACATCTCCTGGAATCAACATATTAATTATATATCTACTAAAATTTCAAAAAACATTGGGATTCTATATAAAGCTCGTAACTACCTAAATAAAAATTGCTTAAAACAACTTTATTACTCTTTTATCCACAGTTACATAAATTATGCCAACACTGCTTGGGGAGTACTGTAAAAAGTAAGTTAAAACTTCTTTATCATCGTCAAAAGCATGTGATCCGCATAATTAACTATGCCGATCGTTTTACACACACAAATCCTCTTTTTACTGAAATGAGATTGTTAAATTTATTGGAACTCAATGTATTTAAAGTTTTATGTTTTGTATATCTATGGAGAAATAATCAATCCCCTACCGTTTTTAATAATACTTTCAAACTCAAACCTAACAACAAATACGACATGAGAAACATAAACTTTTTAAAAGAACCATTTTGTCACACAAAATTTAATCAATTTTGCATTGCTTATCGTGGACCCCACCTATGGAATAATATAGTTTTGCAGAATTTTGATTTACCAACTTCCTTTTACCTTTTTACGCTCAATCTAAAAAAATGTATTATTTCACTTGATAATATACTCAGATACTTCTAATATTTTGAAAATTGTTATACAACTTGAATTCAGTACTTTCTTTATTTTAATTTTTACTTTATTTTTTAGTATCTTATACTGGTATTTATTTTGCTTGTTTGTCCTTTATAATTCTGTTCTGATGACAAGATCTTGTGATCTTCTTTCAGATCCTAGCTTATGTTTCATTGTAAGCAGTTTATGTTATCTATGCATTTGTATGTGTATATATGCTTATATTTATATATGTATGTCCGTGTTTTTTTCTTATTTTAATTTAGTTGATAAATGTTGTAACACGAATTTAATTGTAACACGATATATATGGCATATATAATTGTACTTTGACATTTTAATGTAAGCAAAATTTAAAAAAAAAAAAAAAAAAAAAATACCGCGGTAATGGAGACAATGTTAGCGGTAACGATTATGACCTTTTTTTATACGTTTCAAAAATTAATTTTCAAT